CTGGGATGGACTGCTCCGGAAGTCCCCTTGAAGTCCACAGGAAGGGGACTCAGGGGCAACCAGGACCAGGGCTAGGGCCGTATGCTGGCCTACCATGGGCTCAGTAGCTAGAGCCCCCAGCCTTTCCCATTCCTCCTCTGCCTTCTTCATTTCTGCTTTGCTTTATGATTCCAATAAATCAATGTAGCTAGCTCTGGGCTTTGTCTGTGTCTCTGTTAACCTTCTCAGGGGTCAGAGTATGAAGAGGGTCTTCAAAATCACAGGGAAAAGAAAGAGGCCTAAGCTTGGAGCCTCCAGGATGGTTCTCTGTCCCTTGGCACACAGCAGGCAGATTGAGCCAAGGCGTGTGGTAGGCCCCTACCTGATGCAATTTTATCCCCATGACCTCAATAATTTTATCCATGCAACCTTAACAACACTGGTTGCACATGAAAGACCCAAAGCTCTACATGGTTACTGGCTCTCTCGCTGTGGTCTGAACCCTGTGTGCGTCTCTAGGGCTCACTTCACCAAACCACAGTTGCCTCCCAGATAATAGTCTGTGCACATCTGTAAATGGATGGTTCATGAGTGTTAAACTCACTCATCACTCAAAACTTAAGGAAACACTGTTCACTGATTGTTGTGGTGGGGAAGACTCACACCTGAGTAATTTATTGGAATTCTTTAAGGAATGAATATATGAATATTATTAAAGTTTCAAAAAGCTTTTGCCATGGTTTTCCTTTCTTAATGGAGTCCTTCTGAGGCTCAGAGACATGAAGTTGCTGATGCATTGCCTCAAAGACAGAAAACAGCACTTAGCCAAAAACAGAGTCTAAAGCCACGCTGTCTGAGTACAAAGCTTGGCTCTGTTTCTTCCCAGCTGAGTGAATTTGATCAGTGTCCTTCCCTTTCTGTGCCTGTTTCTACATCTCTAAAACAAAGATGATAAAGAGCACCTGCTTCAAGGTCAATGGGAGGATTAAGCAATTTCATGTATGTAAAATACTATTGGCCACAAAATAATCACTGTCTGCATTTATCATTAACATTTTTCTTTTGCAATGTAAAGTAGATACATCTTTGGGGACCAGGGCCAGGGCCAGGGCCAGGGTCAGAGCCAACTTTTTATTACATCCTTATCCATGATCAGAAATGCAAGTACAGAGGAAATCGCCATTTCTACAGGGTCACTGCGCTCCTTCATACAGGGAAGTATTCACACAGCCCTGCCCAGGTCATTAGGGAGAATCTCCAATCTTCCAATCCCGGGCCTAGAAAATGTAGCACAAGTGGGAGCCCCCCAAAGGGCACCAGAAATAATTAAGTGTTGAGACAGTGGTCTGAAGTGGTTCCCATAAGGGATAGAATCAAACCAAGTCCCTTGGCTACCTCTGATAGAATTAGGAGCTGGACAGAGCACTGGCAAGTTCCAGAATGTGTGATTGTTCTAGCCAACAATCTGTGGCTATGTGGCTGTGACACCACACAGCTGTCAGGCAGGGTCTGTGTCCACAGTCCGATCCTGAAGCCCAAGCACCAGCTCCAACCTTCATCCTTCTCCAGGAAAGCCAGCTGCAACTGCAATCCTCAGGGACCTCCTGCCTAGGCCAACTGAGTCCTTCATGCCTGTTTTGCTGGTCTCACCATCCCTGCTGGACCTTCATTGCCTCCAGGATTTGTTACACCTTCCCACCTTCCCTGAGCCCTGCTCCTCTCCTCTTTCCCACTCTAGCTACACAGTGTTTGCCTCCTTCATAGTTGGACTCCTGGACAAACTGGACAGAAGAGCAAGGATGAACCCACCCAACACAACACCCACATCCAGATGGGTAAAGAAAACAGAATTCTTTACTGTGTAACCCTTAGCAGGTCACCTCCCCAGTGTATTCAGTAATGGAATAAAATGTTTGGACTATATGGCTGCTAAGGTCCCTTACCAACTTAGACCTCTATTCTTTGTCCAAGAGGTGGGACAGGATTAGGAGCTGGAGAGGAACAGGGAGTGCAGGGTCCCACATCCAGCTGTGCTGTGCAGGGTACATGATGTCTTATATATTTACCCATTCTGCATAACTCATGCCTGCAGGTACCTGTGTATGCACAGAACAGGATGTCTTCATCCCAGTGCATGCACATTCTCCAGGCAGCTGTGTGGAAGCATATGCACATGTGTAACTGTGAGGTTTATATATATACATGAGTATATGCATGGATGTGTGTGTGTATGTGTTAAGGAGGGGGAACACTGGGGCATGTGTGTGTGAGGGCATAGTGTGGGTACATTAACGAGCCCAGGTGTGCTGGTGTGGCAAAAGTCAAGGAGGAAATAAGGTCTAAGTGGGAGTAGTGATGGGCCAGTGCTACTCGATGTCATTCTGGGAGGTGCCTTCTGTCCTTGTTGCTCTAACCCTTGGGCTAACCTACTTATTGTTACTCTAGCACCAGAATGGATGGAGGAATGTCAGATGCTCTTAGACTTTGTACAGCCTTCTTTAAATTTGTCCAGGGCTGGGGATATAGCTCAGTGGCACAGTGCTTGCCTGGCAAGCACAAGGTCCTGAGTTCAATTCCAGGTACCCAAAACAAATAAATAAATTTGTTCAAAATGTTTCCAAAGGAATGTAGCTCAATGAAGAGCACTTGCTTACCAGGTGCAAGTCCCTGCCTTTGATCCCCAGACCCCTTAAAAAAAAACCTCCAGAGAACTTCACTAAGTTATATAGATACTTAGATATATATCACTATGTTTTAAGCATTTTCCATACAGCAATATCTTTAGTTTTTAAACAGCCTTATAATGGATGCTATTCTATTTTACAGATAAATTTTGGCTCAGAGACATGATGTATGGAAAATGACTATTCACCATTTAGATCTGGGGTCTGATCTGGGGTGGGACTGAAGCCGGAAACAGGTGAAGAGTTTGGTCAAGGTTAACACTTAGACTCCACAAAAGACTTTCGAGGGGTTATTTAGGGTGAGACATGCTAATGGTGAAGAAGCAAGGCTCAGGATACCCCAGAACACACAGATCTAGCTGGACCATAAAGCCTCAACCTCTTACATCTACTATATGGCAGGCCCTAGAATTAGATGAGAAAGTCACTGCCCCCCGGGTCTCAAATAGAGAGGGAAACACAGCTAAGGTAGCGTCTTTTATGTTGGGCGCTCTGAAGTGTCAGGCAGGCACGTGGAGTCAGCAAAAGCCTGGACCCTTGTGGCTCCCTGATGCTGAGAAACAATGACTAAACTGGTGACAGTTCTCCTCCCTTCAAAAGTCACCTCTACTCACAGAGTAAGTACTGGGCTGGTGAATGACTCTCCATAAAAGCACCCAGCATTTGTCTTCCACCCCAGGCTGGAATGTGGCCCATGGCCAGGGAAGCCTCTTCAAAAATAGAACCCCAGACCACAAACACTGCTGCTGACTCACGTGGCCCTGACCGGAGAAGAGACTTTAACATGACCCCAACGCCCTTGGGATCTCCTGAGCTGACATCAGGCAAGTCCGAGATTAAGGTCTGAAAAGGGAGAAGTTGGATAGTCGGTCCTCTGGGGCAAAGACTGCAGGATGCCCACCATCAAGGCTGCCTGCGAGCCTTCAGTGCTATTTCTGTCCACACTTCCCACAGACTCCCTGCATTGAAATGCTCATTGCAGCAGGAGCTAGAAAAATGGGCCTTGAAAATCACAAAATTTCACTACCTCCTAGCAAAATGCGAGGAACACACGGCTGGGCTCCAACATCTGGCAGAAGTCAGCCCTGCTTTCAAGCAGGTGTTTGGCCCGGGAACATCAGCAAGAATACCAGTATCTTTGGTGCGGGTCAATGTTGACCACATGGGGAAGATATGATCCCAGCAGGGCCATGAGCACCACCCCTCAGCCGTGTGGTCACTTGCTGGCCAAGTTTCGGTCCCATTCCTTTTGCATGAGGCACCTTTGTTTATCCAGGAAAGGGGCTTTTGGATACCTGTTCTCCAGGCAGGAGTGCAAGAAAACACGGTACACACTCCAGCACTAGAATACCTTAAAAGGTAAAGCCAAGGGCTCTGGCAAATGACACACCTTAGCCCCACCCCGGGACCTGGAAACCAGGAACAATTGTTCCCACCGTGCACTGATGATGTAATCTGTGCAGCAAAGAATGTGTGAGCTCGCTGAGCAGTCGCTGCACTGCAGCCTGTGTGGTAAGGAAAGAGTCTAGAAACTAAAGCTTGCTCTAATCACCCCACCCTCTGCCTATCCTACCTAATGCCCCAAAATCCAGTGGCCTTGTAGAACCTCAGACCAAATTCCCCTGAGATCTGGAAGCGGAGACATCCATGCTTCCCTTGCTGTGACACGTGGTGCCCCTGCCCCCAGTCGGGTCACCTGCTAACCCAGAACACACGCTGGGCACCCAATCGTGCTCATTACCCTTCTCCCCAAAGGGCAAAGGCAGTTTATCCAGCGCCTGTCCTCAAGTGCCCTGTAGGGGAAGCAGAAGGCACCGATCTGCTCTTTCTTCTTCCTGGTCTGTTGCTTGTTTACAGTCCACCTCCCCACCCAGGGAGTCACTGCCAGACAGCCAAATCTAGGGGACCACGCACTACACAGGGCCCTGGGAGGCCAAAAGAACTTCTAGGCTGGGGATACAGCTCAGCGGCACAGCGCCTGCCTGGCAAGCGCGAGGTCGAGTTCGGTTCCTGGTACCAAAAAAAAAAAAAAAGTATGTGTAGAATGAGAAAAGAAACAATGAATGAATGAATGCAGCCTGAGGCTCCTCTGCCAGAAAATCTGATGTAGACCCACCCTGGACCCCATGCCTGAATTTCCCCAGGGCCCTCTGACTCTCCCTCCCAGTCCTAAAGATCCTACTCGCACAATTATCAAGTCACAAAAAACTGAAGTCACGTGGGACCCCACCACCAGGGGAGGGCTGCTGGCTGGCACTGCTCCTGCCCCAGCCCACCAATGGGGCCACCTCAAGGGGCGGGGTTCCAGAGAGCGGTCAGTTCAAACAGACTGGCAGCTGGGTCACAGCAGAACTTTTTATTGCAAAGGAGGAGTCCCTGGAAAGGAAGGGAGGGGCAGTTCAGAGGGGCAGCGTGTGGGTCCGAGTAAGCCACAGGCCCTGCCTATCTAGTGGTACCAGTGCCCAGGCTGTCTGCACTGGGGCCCGGTCTCACCATTCTGTAAACTATGGCTCAAGACTTTACACTCCAGGATGGCAGGTAAGAGGGAGAGGTGACGTAAGGGCTAGCACCACGGGAGAGGGTATCTGAGACAAGAGGACAAGTCTTTATAGGAGAAACGGAGGTTCCTGAAAGCGGTCAGCATCCGTGGAAGCCGCTGCAGCTGCTTCCAATTCCTCAGCACAGACAGGGGAGCTGCAGAGCGCGCAGCCGCCGCCGGGGGCGCTCGTGTCCAGGTGACCCGAACCGGCTCCAGGCTCGGGCGGGTGGATGGGGCCCGAGGCAGAGCTGGGCCTGCGGGCCAGAGCGCTGCCCGGTGCTGGGCGGAGAGCAGTGTGGGAAAGAGGGAGCCCTCCCATTCCCACCCGGCGCCCAAGACCTGCCTACAGGCCTCTCCAGGGGTCAGATACACAGACCCTCCCTACCGCAAGACAGGTGTGCACACTACCCTAAAGGAATAGATAATACACTCAAAAAATCTCCCCAAGAGAAGAAATACCCCCACCAAAACGAGCTGCACAGAGGGACCAGTCACAGAAACACCCTTTCCCTTCTCGGGGCGCTGAGAGGGGTAATGCATGCACACTGGAAGGGGGTGGTATAAGATCTGACTTCCCTGCCCAAGCTTCAAGTGTATACTTACCCACACTCCTGGCCCCAAATTCCATATCGAGCCTGTGAGGAGAAACAAGCAGGTAAATGACTCTGTCTGTCTACTAGGTTTGATATTCCCCATTCTGCAAAACAAATGCCCCTGACCTTCCTGGCCAAGCAGAGAGGCCACCATCCTGCAAGCCGTGTGGGTCCCTGGTCCCCAAGTCCTTCCAGACTTTTCAGTTCACTCCCTTCTGCCTCTATTCAGACAGCTCACTTTGGCTGTTAACTTCATGGAGGAAGGAGAAGGCAAAAGATCTGCCTTTTGTTAACCTAACCTGATCTTGGAAGGTGAGCCCCATTCAATTATAAAGGAGACTGCAGAGGACACAGCACAACTATCTGAGGAACGCTGTTCAAGCCCCACTCCACCACTTTCTACTGTGTTTCCCTGAAGCTGTCATTGCCCTGCTCTGAGACTCAGTGTCCTGGTCTCTAATGTGGGGATAAATAGTTTCGCCCTCCCAGACTTTTGTGAGATGATCAGGAGATAAGCGATACAGTGTGCAGGCAGCATGGTGGGTTCAGCCCCTCTCCTCTGCCCGGGCCACCCAGGTCACACTGGTCACCCTTGATGTCCTACTGCCATCTATGGTGAAAGCCAGGCCCTACCTGTTCATGTAAAACTGCATCCCCATGCCTGGAGGTGAGGGACAGAGGTAAAAAGTGGCATTGTTCCCACCAGCTAGGCCTTGGTCCCTATACCTATTCGCCATGGACAGACTGTTCCTGTTGTCTGATTCTGTGGGTGAATGACTTCGTGGATGACCCCCAGCCAGGTGCCAAAGGTGCTCCTTAGTTGAGGAGCACCTTTTTTTTTTTTTTTGTTCCAAAAAGCTGTAAGATAGTGTGGAAAACTGGCTTCAGAAGATCAAATCCTAGTTACCCAGGTGAACTCTCCCTACTCCTTCCGGGCAGCAGAGCATGGTGGTCACTCTTCACCATCCCCTCCTCACCCACAGTGGTCAGAAGCACCTCTCACTCCTCACCTGCTCTCTTCCAGCAGCTTCCGGTAGGTGGCGATCTCAAAGTCCAGGCCCAGCTTGATGATCATGAGCTCCTGGTACTCTCGCAGCTGCGTCGCAATGTCCTGCTTGGTGCGCTGCAGAGCGGCCTCCAGCCAGGCCAGCTTGTCCTTAGGACTGCATGAGGCCCCCTCTGCCTGCAGAGCTTCTAGGTCCCTGGCTTTTTCTAGTTCACAAGGCTGGGGTGATGGAAAGACCAAGGACAGAAGGATCTCCTTGGCCCCCACTCCTCCACCTCCAAGGATCTAGACCTTTCTCAGAGGCTGGAGGAAGTGTGAGGGCGTGGAGATTATCTATAGTTGCAAGAGGTGAATAGATGTGTTTCAAAACATGTTTGTGTGTCTAGACCACAGAATACAAAGAATCCACCCACCCCTCTACACTCAGGGTGGAGATCTGGGGCCAGCCTCAGTGATGGCTGAGAAAAAACCCTTTGCAACCTGGCATGATGACACACTTCATATGAGATAAGATCAGAGAGGAATCAAATGCTCCTTAGCAAGTAATCCTGGTATTAGTGTTCCATAAGAAAATCTAACAGGACAAAGATCTTTCCGCATAGGGGGGTCTCTGGGAGCAATAGTAATAACAGCAAATCCTTGCTTTGGTGAGATGGGCCTGCTGCTTGGTCCATCAGAGTAGCTGCCACTGGCCAGACACAGAACTGTGACCAGCCCATCCACCCACTCTGCCACCACTGGTACTTGAACAGCCCATCCCCCTCCAAGTCATCACTGCTTGAACAAGGGAGACCCCACACAAACCATGAACATCCCTGGAGCCTAAGACACATGCATCTGAAGGCAGTAAGACAAGACTAGGAGTAGAAGTCCTTCGCCCTCGGGGAGAGGAGCAGGGATGAGCCAGGGGAGCTTGACATGCAGGGGAGGAGGGTTGGGGAGGAAAAGAGCTTTGGAAAAAGAAAGCGTCCCTAAGAATCCTCTCTTTTCTAACTTCTAAGGCCTGAGTCACAAATGCAAATGCCTGCAGGATCCTCCCTGGCTGGAAGCATCAAAAGGTGAAGGCCAGATGTTAGACACATCGGTAGTATCTAGTTCCACAGAAAATATGCTATCTCCTATTTCCCTGAAATCACAAGGACCTCTTCTCACATTTTCACTCTTTTATTTCTCTAGAGACATAGACTCAGTGCCTTTTCTCTTCCACAAGGATAATGAGTACAGTCAAGATGATGATAAAGGTCAAAGGACCTTCTCTCTAGAAGCCAAAGAACGCCACAGGGAGTAATGAGGACTGCAGCACATCAAGGAGCTGGCACCATATGAGACGATAGAGGAGGTGAAGGCTTTTCTTGTTCTCCAGTCAGATGTTAGCATGTGGGAGTCACATCACCAGATTCTCATATTTTAAAAGGGAACTCAGAAAACTGGTATTCTAGGTAAGGTCTTACACTGTTTGAAGGCAGACTTGTAATCTGTGCTAAGATGCAAGAAGACATAAAGAATATACATACAAGCGTATATTTCAGAAACATTTGCTGTGTGTTCATTACCCACATAAAATACTTATGGAGTCCTAGACAAAGGCAGGCATGATACACATATGCAGCTACATTCTTCCTGTGCTCGGGCAGTCACAAAGAGAAGCTCCAGAGAATTTCTATCCAAAGGATTGGGAGGAAGGTCTAGAATAGTTAACATAAATAATGGAGACCCTCCCACATGGCCACCCCCACTCCCTCGCCTCACTTGATCCTTGGTGCCATCCACCTCCACCATCAGCTGCTGGATGGCCTGGTTGAGCCTGTTTAGATCCTCCTTGCTGTGCCTGGGGCTCTGCGTTTGTTTCTGCACAGTTGCTTTTATCTCCTCACACTGGGGCAGGAAGCAGAGCAGGGCAGCGGTCAGGGAGGGAGGGGAGCAGTTCCTGTGCACCCCACCACCACCACCTGCTCCCACAGGGGCCCATCTTGTGAAATGGGGACGATCCTCCTATCCCGGGGGTTGCTAGGAGAACACCACGCATTCTACTGCCAAGCCTAGCGGAGCCCAAGGCGACCTACACTTGGGCACATGGAGCAGCAAGGCAGGGAAACAAGCTGCTGAGGTGAGCTTTCGGACTGGCTTCTCCTAGGAGTAGGAGAGTTTAACCCTGAGAAATGAATTATTTCAACTTACCACATATAAGCAAAGCTAATACAAAAAGCATTTGATAAAATTCAACGATAATGACTACTCTTAAAGACTTTGAAAATCTAGAAATATGAAGAAAATCCCAACCCAGTGACAGGCAGCCAGCTGTGAGATCGTTCCCCAGGCCCAGGGCCACCATGGTGAGTGCTGTCCACCAGGGATGGAATCGAAGGACCTTTTGCCTTCATATGCAATACATAAACACCTCGGGTATGGTGACACCTGCGCAGGGCCTGACACTCTTCCAAGCGTCTCACTGCCACCCTCTCACTGGGGCCATGCAAGCTGTGATGCAGACCAGGCAGATGTGACCAGCTCCATGCTCTCCACAGGCTGGGTGCTCGTTCCACCCACCACAGACAAACAAGGAGAGACCAGAGTGAGGTACCCTGCCCATCAGTGCTGAGCCTGGCTGCATTTGAAGCCCACGTTCTCTGCTCCACACCCTGAGGGACAGATACAGTCACACCCACCCCTCTACCCAGAGAGTGGGAACTGTGCACAGCAGCCTAAGCAAATCGCTCTGTGGAGCAAGTGGAGTGGGAGCAGACTGCAGAACATCCTGCCCCACAATGTCTGCTGTATCCCCACTACCCGGCCTCCTCTGCTTCACATCCCAAATGCTGTAAACACAGCAGACAGACTTGTGCCTGGCAGCTCCAGGGCAACAGGCCTCACCATGATGGCAGCGGCTGCAGTCTCCTCCAAGCCTCCCTCGAGCACTAACACCCAGCTCCAGCCCAAGGAGCTCCAGGAACCTTGCTCGGAGGCCTCTCCTTTCTGGGGGCTTTGTGACCTCACCTTGTTACAATCACAGAGTTCTGAAGCGGAAGTCTCAGGGGCAGGGATGGAAGGAAGCCAAATATGAATCCAAATGGGAAAAAGACTGGAGATGCCCTTCCCAGAGTCAGTAGGAAATCTGGGTCTGAGCTGGGGTGGGGGAGCAGGGACTACAGAGTACAAGCTGTTGTTGGCATTTTCCTTCTGTCTTATAAATTTTTCATACATGCAAAAGAGCATCTATGACATACATTTAGTGATTTAAATAGCACCAATAGTGGAACAAATCTTTGCATATCCCTAGGGCACCCTTGCTGGTCGCAGTACCATCCATCCTTAGCCCAGCCAAATCCACAAAGTTACCACTGTCTTAGGACTTTATGTTAATCATTCTCTTGCCTTTCTTTATTATCATGTGTATATCCCCAATCTATTCTATATTGCCTACTTTTAAGCTTTATATAAATAGAATTACAGTGTTTGTATGCTTCTATGGCTTGTTTGCCCCCCCAGAATTCTAAGTTGAAACTCATCTTTTTTTAACGTATGTAGCTTTATTTTTCAGTGATGTATATAGTAGAACTATTTGTCCATTTCTCTATGAGTAAAAAGCATAAGTGGTTTTTGTTTCTGTAATCGACAAATTATGTTGCTGGTACTGTTTTTGCATATGTCTGCTGGCATACTTCGGCAAGAGAGGTTTTTTGCTATGTTGGGTGTCAGACTCATTTTTTAATACAATTCAAAATAAGATACAAGTGCTGGGGATTTAGCTCAGCGGCACAGTGCCTGCCTGGCAAGCGCAAGGTCGTGAGTTCAATTCCCAGTACTGGAAAAAAAAAAAAAAAGAGTCTCTTCTTGGGCAAAATAAGATACATATTTTATATCATGAATCACCACCTACGTACATACACACACACAAGCTGAAATTAGCTTCATGAAAAAATTACCCTTTCTGTCTACAGTGTGTTCTGGTCTAACCAATCACCTTAATACAGTTTTTCACTTTCAATTTGTGTCCATATGTTTTCATTTCATTTCTTATAAATAACATCTTATTTTTATTATTTTTGTTATTTAATAATATAATGACAATAAAACATTAGTGAGCTAATCCCAAAACATTACTAATTATCACTAGCAAGCTACCTACTTCCCTACCTTTCTCCTCCTGGTCATCCCAGAGGTAACCATTTTGCTGAAGCTGTGCTATTATCCCTTTGCTATTTTTTAGTTTTATCACATGCATGCATATACCTAAAACAATTTTTTAGTTTTTCTGGTTTGTTATTTTTATTTTAAAAAGCTATCACAGTGATTTTCTTTGTTTGTTCAACATTGTGTAACAAGGATTCCTCCACCAAAATTTTAAGTATTCTATTGTGTGACAATATCACATTTTATGTAATTTTGGTTTTGTTTTGTTTTGCTTTTTCATCTTACAAAGGTGGTGCTATGGACATTTTTCTGCTTGTCACCTGATACAGATATTCAAAAATTTCTGTTTGATATACAACTAGGAGTGAAATTTCTGGGTCATGAGATGGACTGATGTTCAAGATCACACAAAATTATTTTCCAAAATTGTTGTTATGGTTTGTGTCTAGATGTCCCCCCAAAGCCTCATGAGGTCATAGGGTTTATTTTGAGGTGGTTGAATCTAGAGTGTGTGATTGATTGTCGGTACAATGCTAGGATTAAGGGTGCTGGGATTGAAGATGGGTGATTGCTGGATCAATTCATTCACTGGATCAGCACCGTCCTAATCCCAGTGGAACTGGATACAATATCAGGGACAGAAAAAGACTTCTCTCACTCTCTCTCTCTTTCTCTCTCTCTGTTATTGCTTTTGCTATCTTCTGCCACCTTGAACAGTTTCCCCTCTGCCATGTGCCGCTTTCCTTGGAGCCAGCTGATTATAGACTGAAACCTCCACAAACTATGAGCTAAATAAACCTTTCCTTCTTTAACTTTGGGTGTCAGATATTTTGTCAGGTGTTATGTAGTGTAATTTATCAACCTTTTATTTTGAGTATTTTATGTGTCTTAAAAATCCTGCTCTGCTGGGGATATAGCTCAGTGGAGTAAGGGCCTGCCTGGCAAGCACAAGGTCCTGAGTTCGATTCCTGGTACCAAAAAGAAAAAAATCCTGTCCTATACCAAGTTCAGAAAAACATTTTCCAATTTTTTTCTTCTAAAGGTTTTTAAGGTTTGCTTTTGAAATTTATGATTTTAATAATCTTAGAGTTAATTTTGTGTAATATTTTTTCCATGTGGATAACCAATGCATAGGACCTCCTTTCCCTACTGATCTGCCTATACCTCTGTTGTACATCAAGTTTATGTGTGTCTGTGTGTGTATTACATCAAAGTTATATTGTTTATCAAACTTTATATATACAAATGTTTTACTTAGGGTTCCCTAGAAGGATAAAATCAATAGAAAATATATGCTTAATTATGCAAGCGGAGTTATTAGGTGGCTTTAAAATCATCAGAGGAGGAAGAACCTACAATGGCCATCTGCATGCTAGAGGGTCAGAAGATCCAGTAGCTGCTCAGCCCCACAAGGTGAAAGCTGCAGAACAAGGGAGATCTAGAATGCCGCACCAGTCCAAGGTGGAAGACCGCGAAGCTTGCTGCAGAGTCCCTGGTGTGATTCTGCATTGGAGGACTGAAGAAATGGGAGATGGATATCCAAAGGCTATAGCAAAAACTGGAGCTGTTCCTAAATGGGCATTCTTACATCTTTCCCTTTTATTCTCTGCAGACTGCAAGCTTATTGGTTGGGGCCATTCACCTCCAGAGTGGGTCTTCTTCCCGCATATACTAGCTTACATGTCACTCATCTACAGATACACACAGAATTGTGCTTCTGCTAGGCATATCTCAACCCAGTCACGTTAACAGATCATGAATATGTGTGTGTGTGTGTGTATATACATATATATACATATACATATATAATCATGAATATATCTATTTTGTTCCATTGGTTAATTTGTTCATTCCTGTGTGAGTGTTACACTGTTCCAATGACTATAACTTTATGTTATGATCTCTGAATAGGAGAGTACTCTATTAAGTCTTTTTATCATGCTTTGGCTATTATTGACTTTGTCCATCTCCATAAATTTTAAAATCAAGATGTATATAAAATCCTTTTTTGAAATTTGATTATAATTGCAATGACTCTGTAGTTTAAAGAGAATCAGTAGCTTTGTGATGGTAGAGCCTCTTATCTATAAATATGGTCTATCTCTTAATTAGGCCTTCTTTATTATCTTTCATTGTCTGTAATATTTTCTATAATGTTTATATTACTCCAGGTATAAGTCTTTCAAATACATTTATTTCTAAGTATCACATACATCTATTTCTGGGGCTGGGGATTTAGGTCAGCGGCACAGCCCCCGCCTGGCAAGCGTGAGGTCGTGAGTTTGATTTCTGGCACCGGAAAAAAACAAAACAAAACAAAATATACATCTATTTCTAAGTATGTTATGGGTATTTAATCATCATTTATAGTAATGTATAATTTGCATACAATAAAAGGCACACATTTTAAGGGCACAGTTTAATAAATTTTGGCAAATATATGTTCCACTGAATGAAAATATAGAACATTTCCACATCTTAGAAAGTTCCCTCAGGTCCTTTTGCCATCAATTTCCTCTTGTTCCAGGCAACTGTAGATTAGTATTGCTAGTGCTGGACGTCATATGTCTAGAAGCATACAATATATATTATTTTGCATGTGACTTTTTCATTTAGCATAATGTTTTCAAGATTCACCCAGATTGTTTCATGAATCAACAAACAGTTCATTCATTTTTATGGCCAAGTGATATTTCATTGTATGACTGTATCCCAGTTTATCTATTCATCTGTTGATAAACATTTGAGTAACTGCAGCATTTTATGCTCCATTAACATTCCAGGTGATTCACACTTGATATTGTTAGTCTTTCAAATTTTAGCTTTCTTGTGCGTGTGAAGTAGGCTCATTGTGAGCTTGCTTCTATTCTGTGTGAGTCTGGTGAGATGACAGAACACACTAATATGCAACAAGTTACATGCAGTGGATTACATACAGACTAGCAGCAAAGAACAAAGAAAGCTTAAAATTCCTTGTGAGCCAGTCCCCAGTGGCTCAGGAATCTCCCTGAAGGAGATGGAATTTCAGCTGTGTATGCCCTTTTGCACTATAGATGAAGGACCCTGAAAGACAGCCTGCCATGGGTTATATACCCCAGGGGTAACATGAAATGTTGGGCTAAAGAAGATCCTGTTTCTAGGACAGAGCCCATACTGTGTTCCAGCCAGTCCCTCCTCTCTCAGGATGTTGCACCACCAGCATATTCTAATGTTGTTGTTGTTGTTGCTGTTGTTGTTGTTTGGGGGATTTTTTTAAGAATTATAAAAAAATGAAAAAGAGAGAGTTGGGTCACTCCAAGCCACCTAAAGAACCATCCTTCTGTGGATGTCAAGTACCTTCTCATTGTGATTCTAAGTTGAATTTCCCTGATGACTAATAATGATAAGCAGTATCTCATGTCCCTGACTCTCAATATATCTTCTTTTGCAACATGTCAATTCAAGTCTTTTCCCCATTTTAACTCAGTTGTTTTTATCATTGTTACTGAGGGGTTAGACTTCTGATCTGACTCAGCTTAAGTCAACTAACTTGTTCATTTCCTATTCTCCCTTCTGTTTTGTGGTTGTTGTACTATTTTTGTCTTGTTTTTTTTTTTTTTTCTCTATTGTCCCTTTCCTACCTTCTTTTGGGTTAGCTCACATCATATGTCTAGAAGCATACCATATATATTTTGTTTTTTATTATAATTATTTAATTTTTTTTACTCTTTAATATTTGATTCTGACATTTCACAAATATTCTTTAATATTTTCTTCTGACATTTCACACTTCACATCAATACAATTAATTTACCTGCAGTGATATTATGAAATATATTTATCTGATCTTCTTCTAGTTTCCAACATATTGTTC